ATTTTTTGGGACAAAAGATTGAGGTGGGAAAAGAGTGCACATCTCATTTATACAGAGTTCAACTATAATAAAACTTGAGATGCGTAGCATTCCAAGTTCGCGGTATAGGTTTTCCGCTGAGCTCCTCTAGTCGGTAGGGCCCATTCTCCAGGTCTTCTGTAACTCGGAACGGGCCGCCCCAAGTGGGTGCGAGCTTCCCATCTGTCGTGTCTTTTCGTGCTTCGTCTAGCAACCGCCACACCAAGTCGCCTGCTCGGAAAGATCGAGGTTTTACTCGGGTGTTATATCGGGATGCGCGGAGCTTGCAGGCTTCCTCGTGGATTCGAGCTTCGTCTCTGAGCTCGTCCACTAGATCGAGGTTAGCAGCCAGTTCTTAGGCATTTTGTTCGCCGTTGAAGACTTGGCGTATGTGGGATGCTTCGCCGACTTCTACCGGGATCATTGCGTCGGCTCCGTAGGTCAGCCGGTAGGGCGTCTCTTGCGTGGTTGACTGAGAGGTGCAATGATACGCCCAGAGGATGCTGGGGAGTTCCTCGGGCCACTGCCCTTTGGCGTTTCCCAGTCGCTTTTTAAGCTCCCGGAAGATGATTTTGTTGGCAGCTTCAGCCTGACCACCGTTGGTCTGGGGGTGTTCCACCGAGGTCGCAAGGTGTTTGATCCCGAGTTCGCGGAGGAAGTCCTCGAAATCCTATGCAATGAACTGTCTGCCATTGTCAGTGACGAGGGCGTCAGGAATTCCGAACCTACAAATGATATTTTTCCAGGTGAACTTCCGCATGTTCTCGATGGTGATCTTGGCGAGTGGGCATGCCTCGATCCATTTGGTGAAGTAATCAATCGCTACCAGGAGGAACTTTAGTTAGCCCTTCGCGGGGGGGAATGGCCCGAGGATGTCCATTCCCCACTGGGAGAAAGGTCATGCCGACATCATGTGGTGGAGAGTTTCAGGCGGCTGTCGGTGTGCGTTGCTGAATTGCTGGCATTCCTTGCATTTTTGGACGTGGGCTTGGCAGTCCGACTTCAGGATGGGCCAGTAGTACCCAGCTCGGAGTACTCTGGTCGCCATTGAGCGCGTGCTGGAGTGCATGCCGCATATCCCCTGGTGAACTTCCCTGATGACATAGGCTGCTTGAGACGCCGTCAGGCATTTGAGCAGTGGAGAGGAAATGCCACGCTTGAATAACTCATCCCCAATAATGATGAACTTGGCTGATCTCATCCTTATCTTCTGAGCTTCGTCTTTATCCTCGGGCAGGACTCCTTCTTTCAAGTGATTCCAGATGCCTGCCATCCATCCCAGGTCTTCATTGTCGTTGACGCCGACGATTTTGTCGTCCAGGCTGGGCGAGTGCAAGGTTTCCTGGATGATGGTCTGGTGCTGCCCGAGTCTTTTGGTGTTGGCGAGCTTTGATAGGAGGTCTGCGCGGGCGTTCTGCTCTCGCGACACGTGTTTTATGGTGAATTCGTCGAAGGATGAGATCTAGCAGGACGCAGTGTGAAAGTACCGCTGCAGCATAGTATCATTTGCCTGGTACGTCCCACTAAGCTGCTCCACCATGAGTTTTGAGTCGCTGTTGCAACTCACTCTCCGAGTTCCGAGGTCGCGAGCTAGCCTCAAGCTTGCAAGAAGTGCCTCGTACTCCGCCTGGTTATTAGTCACCTTGAAGCCGAACTTGAGGGATTGCTCCAAGGCGGCTTGGTTTGGCCCTTCTAGGATGATACCTGCACCACCACCTTTGGAGTTGGAGGACCCGTCAACATGCAAAGTCCATACCTGGGGTTCCTCGGCAGTAGTTGGCGTGAGCTCGGCTATGAAGTCGGCTAAGCATTGGGCCTTCAGGGGTCCGCGACTTTCGTATTGGATGCCGAACTCGGATAGTTCTACTGACCAGGCGATCATGCGTCCGGCGAGTTCGGGCTTTCGCAGGATTTGCTTGATGGGATAATCAGTTTTGACTACCACCTGGTGGCTCTGGAAGTAAGGTCGGAGCCGCCGGGCCGCGGTGACAAGCGCCAATGCCAGTTTTTCGATCATTTGGTATCTTCTTTCCGCGTCCTGGAGAACTCGGCTGATGAAGTAGATAGGTGTCTGTACCTTTTGGTGCTCTTGTACGATGACTGCGCTGATGGCGTTTTCGGCTACTGCCAGGTAGAGGAGGAGGTCGGTGTTGTGATCTGGCCTCTGTAGGATCGGTGGGGTTGTGAGAAAAGATTTGAAGCTTTGGAAAGCCTCTTCGCACTGATCTGTCCACAGGAAACCCTTTGGTTTTTTTAACAGGGTGAAGATTGGTCCTGCCTTCTCCGCGAGTTTGGGGATGAATCGGGACAGTGATACTAACCGTCCGGCTAGGCGTTGGACCTCTTTCACCGTTTGTGGGCTCTGCATCTGGATGATGGCTTTACATTTCTCGGGGTTGGCCTCGATCCCTCTGCTCGTAATCATGAAGCCGAGGAACTTACCTCCTTGGACACCGAAGACGCACTTCTCCGGATTGAGGCGCATGTTATGCTTCCTGACCTGGGCGAATACTTCGGCGAGGTCGGTAGCGTGGTCTATTGCCGAGGTGGTTTTGACTACCATGTCGTCGACATAAACTTCCATATTTCTCCCGATCTGTTGATGGAAAACCTTATCCATCAGTCGCTGGTAGGTTGCCCCTGCATTTTTGAGGCCGAAAGGCATCACCCGGTAGCAGTAGTTGGCGTGGTCGGTGATGAAGGATGTATGTACTTCGTCAGGTGGGTACATCATTATCTGGTTGTAACCCGAGTAGGCGTCGAGGAAACTGAGGAGGGCGTGCCCGGAGGCTCCGTCGACTAACCTGTCAATGCTTGGCAAGGGGTATGAGTCCTTGGGGCATGCCTTGTTTAGGTCGGTATAGTCGACGCACATACGCCACTTCCCCGAGTTCTTCTTTACCAGGACCACGTTTGCCAGCCACGTGGTGTACCTGACTTCACGGATGAAGCCGGCGTTGAGTAGTTTCTGTGTTTCGGCGACGATGGCTTCTCGTCTTTCGCCGCCGACCTTCCTCTTCCTCTGGGCGACTGGTTTTGCCTCCTTGTGTATCGCTAGCCTGTGGCAGATAAAATCTGCGTCTATGCCTGGCATGTCAGCACTGGACCAGGCGAAGAGGTCGACGTTTTTGAGGATTTTGTTTCGAGCTGTTGCCCCAGCTCTGGAGTCAACTGTTTGCTGGTCTTCGTGGTTTGCCCGGGGAGTTTCCCGATCTGGAGGTCATCGAGCTCGTCAACGGGGCTGGGCCATTCGTCGTGAGCATCGGATCTCGGATCAAGGTCGGAGACTTCTTCGTGGCTGGTGTGAGCCGCAGTGGTGGTGTTGCTCTTGCATTGTTCACCGAGTGGGGCAACTTTTAGGCTTTCAGTATAGCATTGTTGTGCCACCTTTTGGTTTGCTTTGACGGAGATAATCTTCCCATCATGTCCTGGGAACTTCATGGTGAGGTGCGGGGTAGACACCACCGCTCCGAGCTGATTCAAGGTTGGCCTACCAATGATGATGTTATAGGAGGCGTCGGCTTCCACGAGGAGGTACCGAACCATGACCCGCCTTGAATCCGGAGGTGCTCCGAAAGTGGTTAGTAAGTCCACGTATCGCCGGGTGTGAACGCTCCTTCCTGCAAAACCGACTAGGGGTTCTGTGTGAGGTTGTATGAGAGAGTGGGGAATGTCTAACCTGAGGAACGTTGGCCAATATAGGATGTCGGCCGAGCTCCCTTGGTCGACCAGGGTCTTGTGAACCTCCCAATTAGCTAACGCCACGGCTATAACCATGGGGTCATCCTGGTTGGGGTTGACCCCGGCATAGTCGTCGTCGGTGAAAGTGATCGTCGGCGAGCTCTGATGTGAAGCAGAGGTAGTGAAGTGTACGCGATTGACGTTGCGCAGGTGTTTTTTCCGAGTCGAGCTGCTGACGCCCCCTCCTGCGAAACCTCCTGCGATTGTACTGACTTCTCCCCGCAGGGGAGTTGATTCTGCTTCCTGGTTTACCTCGCCTCGCATTGCTCCGCCGGGGTTGAGCTGAGAGCCGGAGGGGTGATCAGAGTGTTGTCGCTGGGGTTGAGCGCAAACCCTCTTGTTTTCCGCGCGCAGAGCCGCTAGGTCAACTTCGTTAGTGGTTCGTATTGCGGCCAGGTCGGCTTCGTGCTTGGCACGCATGTTGCGCAGGTCAATGTCATGTTGCTGGCGCATCTGTTTGACTTGGTCGATCAGCCTTCTCAAGGTTGCAGCGTCGCCGTCCATGGTGACTGAGTGTTCAACGTCCTTTGTTGCACGGCTGTTGTGGCTTCTGGTGAATACCATACGGGTGGCCGATAAGAGCTGTCTCGATCGGCCCCACGGTGGGCGCCAAATGTTCTTACCGGAATTTGTCGTAGGGACGATCTTCCAAGTAAGATTGGTGAGCCTCCTTCATTGGTACGCTGATGCTCCAAGATGGGGGTGGTACCTGCAAAAGAGACTCCGATGCTAAAGTTAGGGTTTGTATGAGTAATAGTCTCGTATAAGTAATGCATGTACCTTGGAGTGAATTAAGGTTGCCTTGGGCTCTAGGCCTGTGACAAGATATGGTAGCGGATTTCGTTTGGGGCGAGATCTTTGGTAATCAGTGATTAGATAATGGATCTCGTATGGACGAGATTCTCGGGAATCAGTTGTGATTCACTTGAATGTCGAACTGACATCGTACGACGCGTGCCCGAGATCATCTGGTACTGTGATACCGAGCTTGGAGCTCGGCTTCGCGGTACGGTCAGTACAATTTTAATTCACCACGACACCAGCATTAACACTTATGACAAGACCCAACTCCAGTAGTTACTAATATTACTAATGCTCCCTGAAGTTTTATATATTATTATTACATGTATGTTTATACTAATTTTGTAATTGTGGAGAAAATATTACACTGACATCCTACTCTTTGGTCTATTATTTTAGCAAATTCCTCCTCATTTTTGTTATCTAAAATAAGTAAGAAATGATTAAACAAGATTGTACGATAGAAAATTCATTAAAGATGAGAAGACATAAGAAAAGAGTTGGGTCCACATGAAAATTGAGAAGTGAACTCTGTGTGGAGTGATGAGGAATTTGACTAGTAGAAATATTAAATTTCCTTTGTGTTTAGGCAGTAGTAGAGTCTGTTGTGTTTCCCCATCCTTTGATTTTGGTGCACCCAATTTGTCCACGGAACCAGGGACGTGAAGGAGACGTCATTCCTTCTGAATTGATTCATTCATTCTACTTACCACTACGCTATCATTGTTTATTGAACCTGAACCAAGCACCACTGCACTGGTCACAAACGTGTTTGGTATCCCACAACATATATCATCATTATTATTATGATACAGTCCCCATTCGCGAATCCCCATGACCCATATCCATATCCATATCCCATCTAATAGGAGCTGAGTCTGAATCAATAAAACAATTAATAAAAATAAAAAAATGAAACTGATAGCAGTGGTTGCAATGATAGGGGGAGATGCTTTGCTCCCTCACCCAAATTCAAATATCAATCAATGAGAGGGTTGCCAAGCGGAGGCAATCAAGAGAGAGAGATCCTTCCAACCAAGCTTGAGGGACCCATTCTCCTCAACAAGAGTGTAACCTCTCCAAGGGAACATGCCAAGCAACAAACTAGCCTGAGCGGCCGGGTTGCCCCGGAGAGAAACGGCCCGGAACCCGGCCCGTTTGAGCTCATCAGCCCACCTCTCCACCTGAACCTCACCAGTCCGCTTGGGGCCGCCCACGGCCACGATGTTTCTGATCTCGCACCCCAACAGCTGCTGCTCCACCGTGTGCCTCTCCAGGCTCTCCGCACCCAATCCGTCCCCGAGGGCGTCGAACAATGCGCTGTAGTAATGCAAAGCCTCCACGAACCGCGAAAGGAAGCTGCCGGCGTGGCTCAGATCCTGCTCCACGGTGGTTATGAGCTTCGGGTGAAGCTGAGTCAGCAATCTCAGCGTCGCTAAGTCGCTCCCTGTTATGTCATACAAGCAGTGCTGCATCCAGTGCACCACGATTGCCTCGTTAGGTTGAACACCGAGTTGACTCACCTCCGTCACGCTCCCGATTTTCCCTTCCACCGGATGGAACTCGAACGGAAGCCCTAGCGAGCTGGCGAAATCCGCCAGTCGCCGCCCGGTCGACTCCAGAAGCTCCGAGGAGGATCCGAATCCGGTGATTCTCATGGACCGGATTTTCTTCGACCGAGAGGCCAGGATGTGGAACAGTCCCGGCCATTGGAGTCCCTGCATGATGTCCAGGTCGATGATGTGGACGCGATCCTCGCCGTCCAGCGCCTGGAAGATCGCCTGGTTCGCGGTGAAGTGCGAGAACTTCACCAGCGGCGACACCGAGTTGTACGATTGGAACGCGTTGAAGATTCGCTGCGACTGAGTTAGGGTTACCGATTTCGCAGTCAGCGGCAAGTACGAGCTCAGGCAGGAACTCACCACGCGCGCCTGCAGCGCCTGCGCGAAGTACGCGCCGACTCGCTCCGGCGAGGAGCCGAACGGCGACGAGAGCTCCGCGATCTCCGGGAGGAGGTCGTTGGCGAAGTCGAGCTTATCCATGGCGACGCACTCCGCGCATTGGAGGAGGAGGCCGAGGAGTTTGAGGCCGGTGGACTCGCCGCCGTGTGGTTCGGGGTCGAACGCCTGCTCCTCCTCGGGGTCCGGCTCAACCTCGGCGGCGCGCTTGAAGGGAGGCTGGTGAGCGGGGGAATCGGCGTCGGCGCGCTTTGTCTTCATGGCGTTAGGGTTGGGAGTGCCGGGGACCAAGCTTTGAAGCATGATCAAGAGAGAATCGAAAGGTTTGGAGGAAACTTTTGAGGGAAAAGTGACAAAACTGAGAGGGAAAGTTTTAGCAGATGGGTCGACGGGTGTCAGAAAATGAGTGTTTGGTTTGGTGGTGAAATGTGTTAACTGCGTTGGAAGGAAATCAAATTTTAATTCTAGAGAGGTAAATAAAGGAGACAGAAAGGGTGATCACTTTGTAGTTTGTAGCCCACAAAAGTTAGTTTGGGTCTTATGTTATGAGCTTATCCTCTTTGGTTCCTCCGTTTTGTTTTCCATCTGTCCTTTTATATGTCTCATTATTATAATCATAACACCCTTCCCCATTAATTACTTTCCTAATCGCTTTGGATCTTCCAAAAACCCTTTTATTTACTCATCCCAATTTTGTCCCTTGTCCTACGAGTAGGACACCCGAAAATGATATCTCTCGTTTTTATTGACTTCCCTGTATTATAATACTCCCAAAACTCACATCACCATTTACTTCTTAATTATTACTTCATTACTTTTATCATACTTTCTTTTTTTTCTCTTCCACTTGCATCCTATCTTTATTTTTTCCTAACTAAAATATGTTATATTAAAATTACATCGTATTTTATAAAATAATTAATACATATAATAATTTAGTTGACTCGCTACAAAAGAAAATGTTTCAAGGATTTTTTTTTAGTGGGTAGTTGCTGTTTTCTATATTATTGATGGTTTAATTTTAAATATCAATTATTAACCTTGAAATCCCTAGAGATATAAAAGAACGTTACGTAAGCCTCGAAATATATAATATGAGTGCTTACAATTCTTTTTATTTCTCGTTTTTAATTTTTAGTTAATATTAAGAACGTTTAAAATTAAATGTTGATAAATCTAATGACAAATAAAAACACATCCTTACAAAATAAAAATAAAAAACGATTGTTGACAGTTTTATTAATACTGAAATTATCCGAGAAAAAAAAAGTTTTGAATAAAATTATCGTTGTTCCGAAAAAACATAATTATAGTTGAAACATTTCTCAAAGATAATAAAATGTAGTTATCTTTTTTACTTTCCTGGTCCAACGATGCTTAGAGCAATTCTAATGGGAGTTTCTTATTATTAGAGGACTCAGACGTGGTAATATGAATTGTTGAAAAAGAGAGAGAGTTGCTTCCTCAAGCAACCATTCCTTACCAGATTTTAAACAGATCAACATATTTAGGAACGTTTCAGAAATAACAATAATAAAAATTAATTTCGTATAACGTTTATGTATTTACTGTTGTTTTATTTTATTTTTAATATTTATTTATTGTGTATTTTTTTTTGTAATTTATTTTTTTTCATTATAATACAGTTATCCTTTTTAATAAAAATTTAAAATTAATTCATAAATGATTAGAAAAAAAAAATCTAAAAATTGAATTTCTTAAAATTTTTTCTTACTATTAAAATAAATTTATGTTTGAATTATTTAATACTGTCGTAACATATTAAGAATCATTAAGGAACTCAAATGAGTTATTGGAGATCGCCTTAGTATTATATGAAGCTGATTCAATCCTATCTATTTCTTACAGGTTGGCAGCAATAGCATGACCCCACGTACGAGTTAAAATTTGTGTTCTTTATCTTTTATATATAAGTAAACATTCTTAGAATAAAAACGTCCTCACTTTTATTTTACTTTTTATATATATAGAAATATCATCATTCTAATCTTCACATGGTAATAATTATTAAATAAATAAATTTTCAAATCGACGTTAAATTCACTCGAAGCCATCCAAAAGCAACTCTTTATTTTCTAAATTACATGACTCGTGCCAAGCAAATAGTAGCGAACTTTAGAGCTTTATGTTAGTTTTATTTACTGAAATATTTTTGATACTCACAAATTATAACACATGTTGTTTTACTTAAAAATAATTATACTTGTTAACCTTTGAACCAGATTTATGTTATGATGATTGTAATGATTAAATTAATAAATTTAACGTGATGGATCTTGTGCAACGCATAACAATAACAATAACAACTCCTCTTATTCAATGTTCAGCTAGAAACTTCTAACGATGTCCAGTCAATTCAGTCACGATTATGAAAATGATGCATATGTGATGGAGATAAAATACAAAGAATTTGAATTTATTTCAAAGTGAATGAGTTGTCATAGTGAGATAAATAAAATTATATCTATTAATAAGATAATTATTTCAAGCTTTATAACTTGTTATAGCATACATCTATATAATTAATAACAACGAAGATCGTCACGTCTAGTTTTTATTTTTTGTCTATTTTACGTTTAATAATTGCCCACGTTTCTTCTTAAAAAAATTGCACACATTTAAATATTTGTACATGATTAGAAGAAAAATAATTATGCACCATATATGAAATTGATTTCCTAATAGCACGTTCTTTTTTTTTTCTTTTTTTTTAATCTCCACCATCTTTTTGTCTCTTTAATTTTATCTTAAATTTTAAAAAGGTTTAAATATGTATTTAGTCCCTATAAAATTTTTTTGGTCCCTAAAATTTAAAATTGTTGTTTTTAATCCCTATAATTTCAAAAAATCTTATTTTAGTTCTTATATTCAAATTTTGTTAAGAAATTTATCAAATATTATTGTATAAAATCTACATACTAATGTTATTATTTGTGAAAATATCACATTAAATTTAATTGATATTATTTAATCATCTTAATTTGTCATTTTCAGATATGTTATTAGTGACTTAAAGGACTAAAATAATATTTTTGAAAATTTCAAGGACTAAAAATAACAGTTTCAAATTTGAGGAACCAAAAATAAATTTGTGTTAAATTTGAGTGATTAAAAACATATTTAAACCTTTTAAAAAATATATAGAGATTCAAAATGTCTCTCTTTCCCCTATTAAATGTATATATTTATATAATTTGTTAAAATAATTATCAATTTTTATAAGATGAAAATAAAATATACTCATTATATGTATGTAATTAAAATTAGGGACGATTCAAATAGAAGTGAAAGATAACTATTTTTTTTAATCTACAATGAGAGATTTTAAAAATTTATTTATTTTTTTATAACTTTAAATTTAAAAACATAAATAAAGATAATTTATATATTATACAAAAATTATTTCAAAACTCTTCTCATCTTCTCCTAAAAATTAAACCATACAGTTTTTTTTTTTATTTTTATGAAACTCTTCTCCCCTCAACCCAAACATTATATATTAAAGTCAAATATTGAAATAAATATACAAGTATTAAGAGGGAGAGAAGAGTAAATAGTTGTCCATTTATTGATGCACCAAGTTTCGTCTCTTATTAAGGTTGAAGATTAATTAATAAATCTAATATATCCAACAACAAAAAATTGACTATTTGTGGGATATTTAATATTAAAAACTTATTATTATTTCCATGATAATCAGATGCTATGTAATGAATTATATAGCTCTTTGTAATTATAATGAATTAATATACAATATATAATTGGAAGAATTATAATTTGTCCAAGTATAACGAAGCTTAATGCACAATCTTAACGTAAACAATCCAATATTTTGGCGGAATGAAGAATGTTTGAATGGTCTATGAGAGGAATAATACATGTACTTAGTACAAAAATATAGTTGTCAACAATTATTAATGAGCTCTAAGAAATCAAAGGAACCAATAATAGGGCATTCCTCATGTATTCACGCACACCACCTTATCATCAAAGAGATGATATAAGGCAAATAAATATGAACAGTATTAGCCTTCAGTGATGCGTGCATGATCAATATTAAAGCACATAAGATGTGACTTAATATTTTTTTTAAATGACTTTCTAAAGTGATCTCATAACATTAAATCTTGATCATCCATCATGGTTTAAATTTACTCCTTTCACTTTTATATAAAAAAAAATTATTTTCTCAGTGATTAGGTTTTCTTTCTCCCTTCACTTTCTCCGATGTCTCAGTTTTTGGACCAACGTCATCTACAGTCCTAACCCCTTTTTTTTTCTTGTTTGTATGGCGGCAAGTTCATTAATTTGGAATTGCAATTTGATGGTTGAAATATAGAATTTGTTGCTAAAATGGCTAAAAAAATAGAGTTAAAGCTAATAGGATTAATAGAAGGAAAAAAGATTGTAATATATTTAGAGGGCATGAGATTTTTTTTTTTCATATCTACTACTTATGTTCTCAGCAATTAATTATGAAATTGATTAAAATTTATCTAATTAATCATAAATATTATTAAGAATATTTATATATGTTTTCTAGAAGAAAAAATATTTTTTAATCGATAGAAAGTATTATAATAAAAACAACAGAATTTAAACATAAAAATTCACGAAGTCAACCCTAATAATACAAGAAATAAAAATTCTTAATTTTGTATCGCTTTTATAATAAAATTTTTCTTTCAGCCAATCTTTTACCGTTTGTTTTAGATCGATCAATTATTTTTTAAAATTGTTTTTTCCGTGAACAATGCATGTTAAAAAATCATCTAATACGTAAAAAATATAAAAAGCAAAACTTATCTAAAACATTATTAACCTCATCATATACACGATCTAAATTATAAACCATTATTTACATTAATCTTATTTTTCTTTAAAATTATAAATACATATTCATGTATAAATTCAACAATATAAGTAGAACAATAATATTTCTCTTACAAGTATAACTTAAACAATAAGAATGTGAAAGAAATATTAGAATAAATTAATTCAATAATCTTATAAATTTAGACTTGAATGAGTTGGTAATCATTAAAATTATAATAGGACATAATGTAGATAATAAGATTGTGAGAAAAAAAGTTATAGAATTTTCATTAGTATTTATTTATACAAATATAAGTAATAAGATAATTTCATTAAAAAAATAATGTGTACAATTTTAATTTAAATTGGATTAAATTGATTTTCAAATCGCAACCAAAATTAATTTCAATCTAATTAAAAAATAATTATTTATCTCAATCTTTGGTTTATTGAATTTTGAACTTCAGTTTGACTTTTATTATTTGTATTTAATTGAGCTAGCTTTATAAACACTCTTATTTATAGGAGAATGCAAATCCTACTCAACTAAAAAATATCGAATGGCTTCAAGTTGGATTTAGTTTTGTTATTCTCCAAAAGAAAAATCAGTCTCGTTAAGTAACAAGCTTACAGTCATCAAATTAGAAAGATGATGACCCAATAAGAATTGAGTTGGATTAAACTTGTTGCGAGTTGAAAAAACCCAACTCAACCC